ATTTTCTGTGTTATTTATAATGTCTAGACAGTAATTTTCTTCAGGTAAATAAATATCTTTTTTCTTATTGCGATAAGAGGTCAGCATATTAGGATGATGGATATCGCCAACATGGCAGTTTACGTGTCTTCAATTGGTCCCCACCATATTGGGTTGAATTTAATGAATGGAATTGTCCAACGATTTATATTTTTAAGTATGTCCGTTGTTATAAGCAAATGTTTGACACAAGTTTTGTTTAACTGTTCAATTTATTCTAATGAAATACTTTTATAGAAAAAAGAAACAAAAGAAAGGATTGACGTCAAGTCTCCATCACAAACTACACGGATAATGTCAGGCCTGAATGTCCGGGCCAAATTATTTTTAAATTTAGTAAGTTATTATCATTTTTACTTGCTGCATTGAATAATAATTGTAGAGAGAAGTTGTTAATAACATTTTGTACATTTCAGTCAGATTTTGATACAAAAAGTATGTCTTGAAACATTAAGATGATGATTATTCCCGGAAAATTCCTTCACCAGTTCGAAGCCACTTAGAGCAAAAATACACGCCATTGCTAACGACACAGACACAACCTCAATCAATATTTCCGATTCAACCCTGAAACTTTTAATGTTACGCTTTTGATCTAGAATGTTTTATATTATATATATATATATCAGTTTTTGTGTGCTTATTGATGTCATATTAATAGTCTAATGTGCTAACATTGTATAATGCTTACATCGATTAAAAATAAAAACTATTGTACAGAACAAGGGATTTACGACGTGCTATAATTTCTTATCAAAGAATGTGGATTTATTTATTCAGACACATTTGTGTTAGCCAAAATTATTGCTGAAAAAGAAAAATTACTTCAGAATATACAGATATTATGGTATTGTTGCGATATTTTTAAGGAAATGCAAATTAATACTGTTAAGGATGGATTTTAAATGCTGCACCCAACAATACGTGCAATTAATTCTCACAAAAATCGTTCATCGTTCTTTCCTAGGTTAAATATATTAGCATATCATGGGACATGAGACTTGATCTCAAAGTAGCCAATTACAAAACAGCGACTTTTTTCTTTGTGATCTTGATGAAAGGACAAGTCTTCGGATTTGTCAGGAAACTGTGAGAACGAGTAAGGTTCTTAGAGATGAAAGCTTATTTTACAAGAGTTCTAGATAATATTTTTCATTACATGAGGCAAATCTTGATAGGAGTTAGACTAAGACTATGTAGAAGTCGAAAGTATAAATGAATTAATGAATGTTATTGTGACATAATAGGATTTTCTGGATTGAATATAAAGTTAAGGGAAGGGACGAATTCAAAATGCTATTGCTATTTGTAGTTTATCGGAACTAAAGCTCACTTTTAAGGAACAAAATATCTACATCTCTAAACTACATCTACATCTCCATACTATTTCGTCAATAAACTGCTCAACTTGATCTCAAATCCCTCCACATTACTAGTATTGGTTTGTTTCGAACATTCTGGAAGCTACTTCAGAAACTAAACTAAGTACATATGTGTGTATGTATAGTTAAACTGATTTCCTTGGATACTGGGTTCGGTAGTAAGAATACAATGTACTGAAGGCCATTTTATGCATTATTTTAACTTCAGTACGCTAGTTTTGTTGCAAATAACTTTACTTTACGTTAAATGATGATAATTTGATTGATCTTTACCAGTTGGTGATGGTGGCAGAGAAATGACTGCATACTTTTGTAGTGCTAAAATTAAACAATTACAGGGCACCATTCAAAATAGCAAAAAAAATACACTCTTCGTACATACTTCAAATCAGTTGTGAATATAGTTATAATTTAAAATAATCTCTATAATACCGAGATTAGTAATTACTCACACAAATGCTACTTCATTAAACAATCCTTCTTTATTTACTTATACTCTGTAAAATGCAATTGGATAAATGGTTTGCAGTATCTCACTTGATGGAGGGATACAGAGTTTACTCGGAATATCTGAAGTAGACAAATTCTTGTGCCAATATTTTTCAGTTTGATTGATCGTTGTGGTATTCTCCTCGACGCTTACATCTTGCATTGAATCAATCACAAATATAGAAGACATGCTGAAAATTGACGTGCAGAGATACGACATACCCACACACACATTGTGGGATTTGAAGAAGAAATATTACCAAAGACTGCAAGAATTATTATTCTTAGCAATTGCTTGGTTACTTCTTTGAGGTAACTGTTCTGTACTTACTGACAGTTCTGCAAGCGTCTTTTCTTCATGGTTGTCTGTTTGAATGCTAAATATACCAGATATTTAATGGTAGATATATCAGGTATTTTATGGTAGATTATCATATATTTATGGTACATCATATATATTATGGTAATTTGTTTTAGATCGTTGTTTTTACTCAGTGTAAATTAATGTTCAAGGATAAGTGCATAATAATAAAGTAAGTACTATTAACACCGTGCTAGTGTTGCTGATCCAACCAATGCATTAATAGATTGATTAGCTGATTGTTTTATATTTATTTCATTATCCGACCAGAATTGATCTTTTTCAAGATCAGGAGCATTATTTGATGGATTATCAACGATATACAATGATGTCTGAAAAGCAAACAAATTAGCAATTGCATTAAATAAAGATATAAATGAAAAAGAGATAAATGAGTAAACGAACTGCCAAATTTTTACGCAGAAGAAAATCGCACTCGAAATCATCATCGTCTTCTCCAAACGGGTTGAGAAGTCCTTCTGCGACTTTCATCCATCCAACAAATATAATGAATTCCATCATTGTGACATAAGGTAGAATCAAATCAATCTATAATTTACCTTAAAAGACTTTCCATCCATTTTTTGTTTTGATTTCTGAATTGTGTGGAATGAGTGATTCAGATTTTCACATTTGTAATTTAATGCTGTATCATGCATTCCATTCAAAAATGATCTAACATACGTTATTTTTATTTGTTGCATCTTCATGTTCTGTAATTATGAATTGTCGAGAAATCAGACAAATAGCAAAATACGTGTAAACAGCTAGAAATACCAACTGCAAGTTTTATTACAATGTTTATATTTAAACTGATAGAGGAATAATTTTGAAAAATTGCGCAAGATTCTTCTATTCTACTTAAATTTCTAACAAAGATAACAGACTGTATTCGATAGGGAAATAGACTGTAAAAGGATTTGAAGCGACGAGCAGCGCGAAACTCACAAAATTTGAAATCAATCACACAACGTGGCATAATATGAATAAAATGAAAAGCCGTAGTAGATTAATCTCATTAAAGTTGGTTTGCTTATGCTTATATTTTCACCTGTGGATAAGCCAGTGGTATTGGAACCCAATCATAGTTGCACAGCACTTGAATGCTTTTACGAAAATTTTTTATTTCCTACAAAATTCGCAAATGAAATTATATCTGAGATAAGAATTATATTAATTATGTACTTAATTCTTTTCGATAAGGTTTTATGCAAATTATCAGAACTATTGCACACATTTTTCAAATTTCGATTGTCTACAAACTTCCACTGATTAATTTTTGGCGTTCTTTTAACTTTTACAGACATTTTTGTATCACTCGTTTGCTACGGAAAATAGAGCACAAAATACTGACAATTATTTATCCTATGAATAATTTACTTGATTGTCATAAAACGAACATCACAAAGTTTGTTAGTGAATGAGTCGCTGGGGATTTTGCCATTTTTACGTGCTCGAATAATCAGCGCATAAATCCAATTAATTGGCACCCAATATTTATCAAATTTCATTTGGACGGATTCAAGCATTTCTCGTTCATTTTCACGCATAAATCCTACAAACTTTCAAAAAAAGTGAAATTACAAATTAATTTTTATTAAATTAACATTGATCGGTCTGGAAATGAATTGGATTTCTGGTTTTTTATTTGGTTCAAGGGTGATCTGAACCTGCTTCAATAATACTCTCATATGAAGGAAAGCGTTTTCGAATACGAACGCTTATGTCTCTGTAAACGAGTAGCTGTGTAAGACATAAATATCGTCCCATTGTTCTACGCCATAATCGAGAATCATCATCATCACCGTACACGTACGCACTGATATACATCGACGTGCTACAATTAAAAAATTACTGTAATCAAAACAAATGCATAAGTTGTTATATGCAGATTAATGTGTCAGTTCACTGATAAACAAGCGAACACAATAGTACTAAGTTACCAAGTGAATGGTACTTACTAACTTTGCCAAGTACGTATATGATTTTAATTGTATTTAATTAATTACTTGTTCAGAAAAAGTATGCTTCTTTATATTCTAACACCTCACTGTGATCAGTTTTTTCATATACCATAATTTACTTAAGCAAGTGATATTGTACAAAATTAATGTATTGAATTAAAATACTCGTTTTTCAAATATTTGAAAGTAAAGAGTATATCAATCTATTAGAAACAATTTAATACAAATTATTATCCGTATATTCTTTGATTTTACTAAAAGCTGCAATATTTTTCTCGTAATTATTTGAAAAGTATTTGATTTAGTCAATAAAAATAGTGATAAATTTTGCTACTAATAACATTGAAATATTATCTACCTTTCTACGAAGCCCATATTTTCAAAAAGTATGGACCAACGTTGTATGACAATTTGAACGAAAAAGCCAAGCATAAACGTTAAAGGAATATAATTAAGATGACTGTTAAAATAATTAACAAGTCTTTCAAATGCTCTGAAATATTTCATTTAATAATATTAAAACAGTCTGCGGCAGTGATTCAAAAATTTTTGTAAGCTAAATTTGAATTTATGAAAAATAACTCAAATCAAAAGCATTTGTAATTGCATGTAATGTAAACCATATGAACAGCATAAGTTATATATATTAATATATATGGCAATCTGTATATTTTTATAGCGGATAAAAGATAAAATTGACTAATGAAAAAACTTTTGTAATAAAAGTTTACTCAAATAATAACTGAAAGCAAAATTTCAGGAAGAGATAAAATGTTGAATGTATCTATCAAAATGTTTAATGTTCAAGGATTGATTTAATGCTTTAAGAGATATTAACGAAGTTTAAAAAATATTTCACAGACAAACATTTTATGATTCTGTGCCAGAAAGTATGGTGATCGGTAGATGAATGCTATGATTAGAAAGATGAAAGTCCAAATTGTAAGCTCTTTCAAGCATAATTTCCAGATGCTACCTTTCCATCGAAATACCAAACGAAAAAAGTTCAAGTGCGATGCAGATGCAATATCCAAATTATATGAAATCGTCATTTTGATCTTATTTTATTCTACAATTTGGAGCACATTAACAATTCTTACACAAGCAACATAAGGCATAAGGCAATTGTCTGCTAGGATATAGATTAAGATTATGATTACAATTATACAATTATATTTGAACCTCGAAATCCTATCACCATGCTTATGAGATTTTAAACTTAATATTTTCAAGTAAACGAATAATCATTGCTTGAGTTTTTGCAGTTTTAGCAAGTTATAAGTATTTTTATATCCCTGATATCAAAATATAATATTCGTTATTATATAACTTACATGATTATTTGACTCATATATAATTAGTGCAGCCAAATATTAAAAGTAAGTTAGTAAAGTGAATATAATATAGCAAAGGGTTTGCAAGACTGAGTTATACTTGTCGAAATTTTATCAAAAAACTTCTTTTGATTCTTTACTTTTTTGATTAATGCGGAAAAAAGTATACTACCTTGCACACTATGTGAATCAAACTAAGATTAAAAATAACTAATTTATGCACATTTTGTAGAACAAATTTTGTTGTTGTACAATCTGTGCATTTCATTTATTCAGCTTGTGATAGTTTGGTGTTTGTATTTGTAATAACAAAATTGAAGTACTACTACAACGCATATTCTGCTGATTTTCTGACAATTTTTACACTTTCTGTATTAGCCAAGCAAAATGAGAATGAATACTACACACAAGTACTTTCCCTGAAGCAAGAAGGAAGTCACTTTAGTGCAATAATACTTACGTGGGTGAATACGTAATCTGCAGAATAAGAAAATCCCGAAGGAACTGCTACTTTAACATACATTATTTCATGATGCCTAAAATAAAGCAAAAATAGTCTGTTCAATTCATTGCACTGCTTGACGGTAAAAATTATAGTAGCGTAGAATTTCCTTCAGTGCACTTGTTTCATACTTGTTGAACGTCTTCTTGAACTTATGTATACTTATACTTTTCAGTTACAGATGGCACTAACGATTATTACAAATATTGAGCGTGATTAATGATATCTTAGCTAATAAAATTAGTAGACGAGAAGCATATCCCAATCCAAATTTTCACTGCAGATAAGACTATATGGAATACAAGTGCATAGTTATATGAACAGTTTTCTGACATTATTGTTAATGCAATTGCTTTCAGTTAGTAAACATAAAAAATGAATTTCTGTAAAATTCTTTCAAACATTCCTAAATTTTATGTTTTTTAATTTTGAGAGTTTAAGGAGAAAAGCAGTTTCATTCACAAAGTCTCTTCAATCTGTAATTTGAATGCAAAGTGCTTCTACAGTTTGACCAAATCTTACGTTATACTTTGAGAAACTACAGAAATATCAAGCAAAAATAACTGCATAATTTGACAAATGCAAGAAAATTGTCCTTTCTTTTGAATAATTTCAGACACATAAAACTTCTGCATAGTATATGCATTTTGTAGGCAAAAAGCGTTAAACTGTAAGAGAAGGATTTTTCTCTCAAAGTTTATAATGCATGCACAAAATTATTTTCTCATTTTTTTTCGAATAAATACATTAAAAATTTCCTTCTGCTATCCCTAAGATCAGTACAGTATACAGTATTTGCTGTATTTTGCTTGAAGTGACAAACTATACTTCTCAGATTTGTTTTCATTTTTCAGTAAATATGAGAAAACCCTTTGAGATGAAGGCTTCATTTTTTCACAGAAATTAAAAAATACTGAAAATAAATTTAATAAATAAATAGTATAATCTGACTGCAATGTTATTTTAACTCATTTTGATATCAGTACTTATTACTATCAGTGATAATTTCTTCAGCAAAACACTGCTTATTTTCAGCACTTTTATTGTTATCGCTTTTGTGTTTTTAAAATTATTATTTCTCGTTAGTATTATTACTAAAGGTGATAAAGCTCGTGTCAATAGTGCTACAGATTTTTGCAATTACGTCAAGTTGTGTATTTTAACTAATAAAAAAATATTTAAAAACGATAGGCAAATTTTTGAAATACATAACAATAAAGTCTTAAGAATTTGTTTAGTTTTACAACCTGAAAATTTTTTCAAACAAAAATGAGCTAAAAAATTATTAAATTTTTATAAAAATATTGAAATAAATAATATTAAATGACCGCTAATATTTTTAGATGACTGTAAATTACAGTCTGCAACTTTCAAATTCAAAGCCGTGGGCACTTTTTAGAATCCTTCTGAAATGGCATGGAAGCATATGGAAACTTGTCTTGATTGAATTCTTCATATTTTTGCTATCATTTTTATTAATAAACATTCTTCTCAACAATGTTCTCTCCAAAAGCATGCAGAAGTGTGTTTTTCTAAGCATTTTACTATATTGTAATTTTATTTTTTTACAGTATAAAAAATCCAGTTTTTTTCTTACTGAAGGTCATACTTGGGTGTGAAAAAGATTCCAGCGATATTAACTGAAATGGAAGTTTAGGAAAATTTTAAAACAATAAAGATACAGTTTGAGGGGAGATATTAATGAATGCAAAGAAAATAAAAATTTCTGATAATTAATTATTCAAAAATTAGCCAGCGAAAACAGTTGAATAACCAAATTAAAAAAAATGAAGTTATCACCTGTAGCAATAAAAGTATTTATCAATTTTTAACTAATTTCATTAATGGAAATTTTGTTCATACCGAGGCTTGTAAAATGGCTGCTACATCACAGGATATAAAATTAAGTCAAAAATAATATTATATTAAATAATAATCCTTTTTAATTTGGTTGATAATATTTTCATCTTAAAATGATTTGAGAACAGCTATTGAAATAACTCAATGGTTCAAATCCCAAGAAACCTTAAAAATGATACCTATTGAATTTATGCTGGGATTTTTCGTCCAAGCAATTATTACACGCTGGCAAAAAATGATTCAAAATATTGGTTTCATTGATAGGTTCGTTTCATTGTATTTATTTTAGTTTGCTTTATAAAATTTTTGAAAAATTACATGAAATAGTTTTCAACTGAATCTGAAACCTGTAAAACTTGTTGCTTCGGTTTTAAATTTCCTCTAAATAAATCAACACCAAACGTAATAAATTAATTTCATCGTTGTAATTAAAATTAGAAAAAGAGTTATTGCATTCCAATTTATTTTTATATTAACTTGCAATCCCTTTTAACCAAAGAAAAAAACAATGCAAAAAATTTTTTTAATAATAAAAAATTTGTTAACAATAAAATAATCTACTCCATTTCAGCTTATCTTTAACAGTAAGTAATTATGTTCGTGGTAACACGGATTATAGCCGCATGCTACGACGTAATATTGTACGTTATATTTGTTTAGCTCAAGTACTTGCATCCCGAAATATTAGTACAGCTGTTCGAAAACGTTTCCCCACCATCGAATCTATTGCTGAAGCTGGTAAGAATATTATTTTGAGGTGCATACAATCATTTCTATATAATAACCTAACTTGCTACCATAATTTAACGTGTTTCAAATTGCACATACAATGTTGTATCAAGCATCTATTTTTTCATTTCTGGCTTTATGTTGCCACACGAGAAACAAAAATTTGATCAAGTAAATAGTGATTTGGGGTCAAAACTTTGGATACCCGTTCAGTGGGCACTTTCAATAGTTTATCGAGCTCGTCAAGAACAACTCATTGAAAGTGACTACTTTTGTGACCGTATCTGTGAGGTATATTTGCCTTTTTTTACCTATAAAATTTGCATGATTAGCATTACATTTTACAAAATTGTACTATTAGCTAAAATTAAAACATATTAAATCTATTTCAGGAGATTAGAAATTTTCGAAATAGCTTGGGAACTTTATGCAAATTTGATTGGGTACCATTGCCGCTAGCATATCCACAATTAGTGTATCTTGCTGTGCATGTTCACTTCTTGATTACTGTTATTTCAAGACAAGTAATCATAGAAGATGATAAAGCACATATAATCAATATTACTACAAAAGTTAGTTTAGAAGATTGTTAAATTTTAACTGCCAAAATTAAGTATTAGTACTAATAATCAACTTAATGCTAATGATGCATTCACAATCACAATTAGTTTAGAGTAGTAGTTTGTAGTGATTCTTTTCAAATGATTTCAAGTTGCATCGTTGGATTCCATTAGTGCCAGCCGTACAGTTTTTCTTCTACATGGCATGGACAAAAGTAGCAATGGTACTTATTAATCCGTTTGGTGAAGATGACGACGATTTTGAGACAAATGCGCTCATCGACCGCAACTTCAAAGTATAGTTTAATTGAAGCAATTAATTTATGCTTGGAATCAAAATAATTGCAATCAAATATTTCTGCAATACTAAGTTATGGTTCAATTACTACAAATATAATTGTTTTGTACTCAACTATTCATTTTTAGTTATAAATACTGTAAATAACATAAAGCTTTTTACCCATTAGTTTCATATTTAATTATTATACTAAAATTTTAAATTCAGTATTATTAGACAAATTTAGCATGGATTTCAGTGATTTTTTTAAACACAGTGTAATGAACTTTCTGATGTATTTAGTAACATTGATGTTCTTATCTTTTGTCACTAAAATCTCTCTAAAGTAAGAAAATTGAAGTTTGGTATGAGAATAGCAGATGTGACAACTAATGATACACCATGGCAATTGAAAGACTCATTCTGGAATCATGACGTTGAATCTCTGTGCAACGAGGAATCATCAAAAGCCAATCAAGACGGTTCAATGGGTTCAACAGTAAGATTTCGGTAAGAATTAGTTCTGATCTCGAAAAAATAAACTACGATTTCGTTGTATTCATATCAATTTTATACGATGTAACGCGATTATCTTCGTTCTAACTATAAAAACATGCAAACAGAAGAAAAATTATACCGATTTTTATGATCTATTATTATGGGATAAATAGCAAAATTCAAATTCTGCATTTTCTTACAAGTTCCAAATACTAAGCCATTGCAGTAGGGAAGAACAAAGGCAAGAGTGGCAGTTGAACAAAACCAAAGAAATACATATCAGTACTTCGGATGACGATATATCATACTATCTAAACGAATGCTACATTGAAGACACAGAAGGTTTTGACCAAAGAAAATTGTAATTTTCAATGTTAACTACAAAATACATTTATTTGATCAACAGAATCAAATACAATATGTCTATTTAAAGTTAGACTTCTTATATTAGTAATTTGATTTGAAAATTTCAAAACTTTTGTCTCTAAACGTTTCACAATTTTCTCATTACACACATTTTTATCATTTATTAAAACTGCTCAACAAAAAAACAAGAGCGTTTTTAATTTTTATCTTCTTTTACAGACGTTATAAACAGTAGAAGCCCAAATCAACAAGATCTGATTTCCAATAAGATCGAAAATCTTTCAAATAGGACGAAATTTCCAAAAATATGTAAGGATGCTTCAGATCAACTATCAGTCAATGAAAACAAGAGTAAATGTTATGAACGAATTGAGAGAATGTGAACGACTTTTCTGATTCAGAAAATGTTAATCACTGAATATACAGATGCTGAAATGATTAAATACTAAACAATGTAACTAAAACAAAATAATGCATCACTAATTTTCAAGTTTTTACTTAGTATATCTAACTGACTAGGTCCACTATAATTCCTCAAAATATTAAAAAAATTATACAAATAACTCGTGGTTTTTAATAAATCAAAATAATAATAATAATGACCAAAACTAACTGAGTAATAACTGGCACACTTAAAATGGCCTTATTGATTAAGCAGCACTATTCTCGACTTTTGTTAAATATTCCTCTGCTGTTCGTATCAATTTTCCCATTTCTTCGTACTGTGAAAGGTTAACCGCTTCTTCAACTGGCAACCATTTAACATTTTGATGCTCATCTGACAACTTTACTTCGTTACCATTTTTTAATCTTGCCAACCAATACTTTACCGTTTTCTAAAACACTTGTACAAAAATAAACAAATACAAAAAAGAAAACTAATGCTCAGTGAAGCAGTTTGTTCCAAAATATCTTATTATATTTCCTTTAATTTGACTAATCTGTCAGTAATCACTAAGACTAAATTAAAATTAACAAGAATAGTCATTACTTGCTTGTTAACTTCGGTTCCGTATCGATCGCTTTTTTTGACTACATATTTTAGAGTATGTACGAAATTCTTATGCACATCTAAATGATCAGCGGTTATTCCAGCTTCTTCATACGTTTCCCGTACCGCTGCGGACCACTCATCTTCACCACAATCGACATGACCTCAAGCAGATACTAAAAGTTGTTAATATGTATGGCAAAATAAGCTTTACAAATGTGCAACGAAAAATAAATTTCAGATGACGTAAAGGACGAGAACTTGACCAATTACAGAAACTAAAAATAGAAAATAGGAAAAGATGTGAAAATTTGAAAGTTAGCAAGAGAAGATATTAAATTCCAAAGACTAGAAAACATGGTAATACCCAACCTTTCGGTGGAGTCCAATGATGAGGTGGATAAGATGCTTGGAGTAATAAATACTCGTTTCTTCCCGCCTTTTGGCGATAAATTAATATACCTGCTGCCCGTACAATATCCGCCATTTTCATGAGAATGAGAAATATAAAACCTGAACTTAAAATAAGGTATTAGCACTAATAATGTAGTATCAGCACTGAAATTTAACAATACATCTCAACTAACCCATGTAGATTCCATCATAACTTTGAGAAGTTAGGAATTTTTTTCGGATGAATAATTTGTTTCGGCCAACCGTAAAGTATCACATAGCGCTAAAATATCAAACATCTCTATTGCATAAAATGTGTTTGCATTCAATCATGTTTGCCATATCCTGCTGCGAATAGATTCACAAGCGTAAGAAAGCGCTCTTTTGGTGTTGAAAGTTTTATGGGACGTGAGAAGGAATTAATTATTCTAAACAAATGCTAAGATTCTTTTAAATCTAAGAAATAGTATACAAGGGCTGCTAGAATATTAGTGATTCAAGTTTGGAATCGAGATGGAAATGAAATCTGACATGAAACTTGAAGTTTTTAGGCGTTATGTAATTGGTACCTTGCAGGATTATAATTAGCATATTAACTGAAAGGAATTTCAAAGCAATGTTTTTTCTTACTCCAAGAATCACCAGAAACCTTTCTTTCGTGTCTTGCTGAAAGTTGATTCGGAACCAGTTATTAGTTTTATTTGCTACATAAAATGCAGTATGCTACACGTGGTAACGAGTTATACGCTTGTACAATAATTTTTAGTCTAACAGCCTATTCGTTTGCTCGTCTTTACTTTTATCTCCTAGACAAAATTTACGTGTATATATATATTAATCACAAATGATTGATATTTAAATATATATACATCTATGATTCCAGGCTCGGCTCCTGCCGAGTTTACGAGCTGTAGAGCTGCCAGCTAGTCAAAAAAGCAGAAAGTGGAAGAGAAACGGAAAAAACCGAGCTTGGAATCATGAATGAAAACGAATCGAAGACAGTGAGGTTGTTTAAAGAAGCTTCGTGAAGGATATAAGAGAGCACTCAACTAGTGCATCAGAACCAGCAGAATTGCGGGTTGGTCGGTAGGCAAGAGTGCCGGAACGTCCAATGCGAGAATCAAGAAGACAGAAAAGAAGATTAACCTCTAACCTATGATTATATATACATATTTATACAGCACTTATGATTAATAATTTTAAATGATTATGCAACTAATAGATAAATCATTACGAGATGATAAGTCAAATGAGAGCTATTGAGAACTATTACATTTACTTCCAAATGACCAAATGCTGTGCTTTTGTACAGTTATTTTCTCTAATTATTTATAATTTATCTTCTATGTATGATACCAACACAACAATAATTTCTTTAAATAATGGTCTATTTTTTTCTGGACCAATGCATTCTTTCATTAAATCTGCTATTGCTTTTGGCATTAAGTCTGGTGGTTCTAATCGGTAACCTCCTTGTACCACTTGCTCGTACACCTGCAGAGATTTTTGCATAGCACCATATGCTATTAAAGATTCGATCTTCATATAAATATCAAAACTAGAGATTCGCTTTTTTTAAAGCGCTTACTTTATTGTATTACATTACAGTTCCCAAGTACCAAATTTTAAAGATGTTTTTTTAATGCTGCAATGTAAATAACAGTATCTTTGTGCTAAAAATTATTAATTTGAGTTTTTCAAAAGTGCCTATAGGTTTATTAATTCTGTTTGTATTAGTTTCGTTTGCATAACTCATGCAAATGAAAAACATCATTGAAATTTGTGCTGGCTTTCAAGTTAAATAATGAATGCCTATTAAAAAGCACCAAAAATTTCATATATCACCTCATCTGCTCCCCATTCCTTATATGGAATGCAGTATGGTACTGTGTAGCACTCATACATTGTTATGCCATACGCATAAACGTCTGTTGCTTTATTTACAATTGCTTTATCAAATGCTTCAGGTGCTAACCACCGTAAATTCAATGGTTTATTAGGGTCAATTTTGTAAATTTCTGTATGTCTTGTCATGCCAAAATCAGCTACCTGCAATTCAACTTTAGTTCCTGAAATCAATATGGTACACAATATGGTGTTATAACATACATACCTTAACAATTTCACCAATTAATAAATTGCGACAAGCAATATCTCGATGTAAGCAATTTTGACGATGTAAATATTCAAGTCCAGTAGCAGCTTCTTTCAAGATTTTTGCTCGAGCTTTTACCGATAATTTCTTGCCTTTGTGCTTAAGGTACTCATCTACAGCTCCACCAAATACAAACTCCATTACTAGATAATACGGCTGCAAAATTTAAATATCAAATTCTGTCTCATTTATCATAAATCAAACGAACGCAAGATAAAAGTTTGAATTATTTAAATTACTCACTTTGATTAAATAAGCAAATATTGAAAATTTACTGCTTATTGTAACAATCAATCTTTAATTAGCTTTAATTACAAAATTAATTAGCCTCATTGCTTTGTTTTATGGCTGGCTATTCATTTGCAAGGTCGTTATAATTTGTGAGACAAAAATTGGGAAGCGAATAGTTTCCAGACATTTTTTGGATCATTTGAAAAAGCCAATGCTACTGCTTATCATATCAATAGATTATAGCAAAATATTTTAATTATATAAGGCAAAAATTCATCTGTTTAAATAGTTTTAAATGTAAATAAATTTATTTACTTGTGAACATAAAAAATAAAACAGAAAACACAGCCAAAATATTTTGTGTAAAAAAAAAGTCCCAAATTTTGTTATAAAAATGATGACATAAACTTCCTCAAAAAAAATTAATTGGTTAATATTGTATGCACCAATTTCTGTAACCAATAAATTATGACCGTATAATCATTGGCTACACCGTAATATTTGGTGACATTTGGATGATCATACATGCGCATAACTCTTGCTTCCCTCCATAAAGCATTACTGGCATCTACGGTTATTTCTGTAAGTTCCTTCACGGCTACCTGCAAAAAAAATTGACGGATACTTCTGCTACCATATACAATCATCAGTTTACAATATTAAGTAGAGCAAACTTTGCTGTACATTTTGAAGATACTGAGAAACTAATTTAACTGTAATCGGTTTTCTAGTTCCTATAGTGAGAGTTCCTTTGTATACAGTTCCAAATGACCCTCTCCCAAGTTCTTTGCCTAAATGAATCATTTTATGTTGCAGTTCCCAACTTTGTCGACGAATAGGCATTTCTAATGTTACAATAGAGTTATCAACCCCCAAAGGTCGTTTAGTGACCTGAAATATTAAAAAACAAACAAACAATTATTTGCATGTTTAGTTACAAATGAAATAAAATGTCTACTAATGATTTATTTCTCACAAAAATCCCAGACTTCAGATGCAAACTGAAAACCAGAATCTCATCAAGTGAGAAGTATTGCTTACCTGGTATGAATCAATCAAATCTTTTGCTTGACAAAAGTGTTCACCCCGAAAATCATAGCCCCCTCGTTCTCCGGGAATTATTTCAGCGTTTATTACTTTTCCACCCCATCTAATGCTGAGCGTAATTTTATAGCCATTTTCATACTCTACAGCTCGCATTAAAAAATCTCCACTGTTCTATAATTAAGAGATATCTCTTAATTGCTTATTAATTTTTTT